TTTATTTATAGGTTATTTTAAAATTCATATTTTAATTGTCAATTTCTCGATTTTCCGTCTAGATGTGGTAAAACTAATATTACTTTTGTAAACTATAAATTATAAGGAATAAATCGACATCCATTTCATTGCGTGACGCGAAAATTTGTGGTGGGCCCATTCTCCATACAAAAATTGATTGTACCTCCTTTACCACATATCCGTATACCTGAACTAAAAGCTCTCTTTATGATAGACACTGGTAGCAAAAAAATATTGTAGCGATTCGGCACACTTAGAATCGTTTAGGGTTATTAGTACTCACGCTGCCAGTAAACACGGAGAAGTTGTCTACGCAAAGTTAACGAGTATCTTTCATAGTCCACAAAAACACAAGTTTTATGTATATAGTGTAGACGAAAGGTACGATGGGTTAATAGGTAGTGATCTCTTAAAATTGCTTGACGCTACCATTGACATGAAAAACCTCACTTTATATACAAATAATACTAATATCCCAATTATTTACTCACCGCCAATGAGAGAGACATATAATCTGCCTCCTCGCTGCGAATTAAGAGTTAAATTACCAGTCAACTTATTAAATGGTGAAGCTATATTAAATTACGTACAGTTTACAGAAGGTATCCGAATGCCTGACGCGATAGTAAATTGCAAAGATGGTTTTGCAACCACAGTTATACAAAACTGCACAGACAGTGAACAAAAATTAGTGGTCACGTCACCATTTAAAGTTAAGATTTTTCATAACAATAACTTGAGTTTTACAGAAAGTAAAAATAATAATTTAGATATATTACTAGAGGAAAACTTAAATAAATTAAGACTAGAGCACATGAACGAAGAGGAAAATCGGTGATAGGTAAATGGTGTAGGGAATATAAGGATATATTCTATTGTGAAAACATACCGCTATCTTTTACAAACGACGTTAAGCATAAGATTAGGACGAAGAATGAGGACCCTATTAATATGAAAGCCCATAGATTACCACCTGCACAAACTAAGGAAATAAAGCAACAAGTAGATAAAATGTTCCGAGATAATATTATCCAGGAGTCTCATTCTCCGTGGAGTGCACCGGTGCACTTAGTACCAAAAAAATTAGAATCATCGGGCATACAAAAATGGAGAATGGTAGTTGATTATAGGTGACTAAATGACATAACTACAGATGACAAATACCCACTCCCTAATATTAACGATCTATTTGACATGCTATGAAAGAGCTTATATTTCACTACCTTAGATTTAGCTTCCGGTTACTACCAGATAAAAGTAGAAAAGGATGACAAACCAAAAACAGCCTTCAGCACACCCTTTGGTCATTTTGAATTCAATAGGATGCCCTTCGGTTTAAAGACAGCTCCTGCGACTTTTCAGAGAGGAATGGATAATGTGCTACGAGGGTTCCAAGGCTTACATTGCCTAGTATATTTAGATGACGTTATAATCTTCTCAAAAAGCCTACCGGAACATGTAGAAAAGCTCAAAGTCGTATTCGAAAGATTCAGAAAAACTAACCTTAAAGTCCAACTTGTTAAGTCTCATTTTCTTAGGAAAGAAGTACTATATCTAGGGCACACTATAACAAGTGAAGGATTGAAACCCAACAATAACAAAATTGAAGCAATATTAAAATATACCACATACTCTAACAGAATTAAGGAGTTTCTTAGGTCTTGTAGGCTACTATAGGAAGTTTATAAAAGATTTCGCTAAAATCACGAAACCGCTTACGACTTGTTGCAAAAAGAACCGTAAAATAATAATTAATGATGAATACATATAAAGTTTCGAAACATGTTAAAAATTGTTAACCAATGCACCCCTATTACAGTATCCAGACTTTCACAAACCATTCATTTTAACCACCGATGCATCAAATTTTGCAATAGGAGCCGTATTGAAACAATGTACAATAGGAAAGGATAAAGATGTGGCATATGCGAGCAGAAGGTTAAGTGTTACGGAATGTCGTTATAGCACCATAGAAAAAGAACTCCTAGCTGTAGTATGGGCACTCAAATATTTTAGACCGTACTTATATGGTCGAAAATTCACCATTTTCACGGACCATAGGCCATTGGCATGGTTATATTCGCTTAAGGAACCAAACAGTAAATTAACCCGCTGGATGTTAAGACTTGAGGAATATGACTTCGAAATTAAGTACAAGAAAGGCCAACAGAATACAAACGCTGATGCCCTTCCTAGAATTAGAATCAATGCCCTAGATGACGATTTAGATTCTATCTTCGTAAATACTGACGATAATGATGAATGACTTCGAGATATAATTAAAGAATTAAATTCTGAATTCGTAACAATACGTAAAAGAAAACAAAAAGAAGATTCAGTTATGTCAATCTCAGAAATCTCGGAATCTCAGGAAAGTGAAAAACAACCTGAATTGATGGAAATCTCAGATGATGGTGCTACAGCGAACTCCGTATCTAATAGGGAACACGAAGGCATTCCGATTTTAAACGAAGCAATAGACTCAAAACCGCGTCAAATACTAGTTCATTCGTGGTTTTCTGATAAATTTTCGGTCAAAGACATGTCTAACAAAAAGCAGCGTATTTTAAAAGTTCATATACCAATAAATAATGAAATATTAGTTAAAGACTTTCTGAAAGAATATGTAGACTTTAAAAACAAATATTTCATCTATTTCGAAGACCGAGCTTTTAGGATAAATTTTTCAAACGTATTAATTCAATTATACAAGAAAGGAGCTTGCAAACTTGTCGAATGTACTGAAAGAATTATTAACTTAACCGATTCCGAGCAAGACCAATGAGAGATAGTGATAATTCACGAGGGTAAAACTTGTCATAGGGGGATCCAAGAAACATTTAATAAATTAAAACGGCATTATTGGTGGCAAAATATGAAAGAAACAATAACAGCTATAATAAATTCTTACCAACAATGCAAAAAGATGAAATATGAAAGAAAACCTATAAAATCTCATATTCAATTAACACAGAGTCAAAATACACCGTTCCAAGAAGTTTTCATAATTTCATAGAAAGTAAATATTATTTTTGTTTTATATGCCAAAAATTCTACAAAAAACTATGAGAATAACTGTGTTTTTAAATTTTTTCTATCTTCAAAACTGACCGAGATATAAAGGCGCAAAGTTAACATTTTCGATCTAAGCCGCGGGCCGAGCTCGACATCGTTGATGACGTCACAAGTTCCATCTTCGTGCGAGCGACGCGCGCACTTAGAAAATCAAAACATTTACTCGAATGTGCCCGTCGCATGCGGATCTATCTATTTTTAACAAGTTTACACAACATTATAGTAGAACATGACACCATCTATTAAATATTGTGCTGTGCCTCAATGTAAAAATACGGCCACAAAAACACCTGAAAAGTTGTTTTTTAATGTGCCTAGAAACCCTACCATCAGAAAAAAATGGACAAATGTTATGAGAAGAGCACATCCTTTAGGGCCGAATACGGTAGCACTTTGTTGTGAGGATCATTTCGATGTAAGTATTTAAATAATAATAACCTTCACATGATAGGTCTTGGTTATTGCTAGTAAATGCTTTCTATTAGGCATGTAGGTACCTACTCGAGTCGTAGTGTTTAAGTAACTAACGATTCATTGAACCTTTCCACACTTAGTGAACATTATAATTTCAAGAAGAAACAATACCTAATACCTACATATTTAACTAAAACTACTTCAGTGTAAATAAACATCCAAACTTGGGTAAAGTACCTATGTAATGTAGATAAGTCAATGACCTGTCGTGAGTTCGTAAGTTTAGATACCTACATATGTTTGCAGTAAATTATAAAATGTTTATAATGCATATAAAGGTTAAAATATGGAATATGTTAACAAACGTTTTTATATTTTTACGATATTTCGAGCAAAAACTAAACACACACGCAGAGCTGTTCAACTTTCATACTTTGCGGGCCGCAAATAATGGAATAAGTTTGATTATGAAGTGGGGCACTTAAATTTTTTTCGTGTGTCGTATTTTTATGTATTACATAGTTGGTACATATTTTAACTATTGATGGAATACAAATTACGAGGTTCCTTATTTTTTTATAGACTTTAAATAAGTTTGCATTTTGTTCTAGGTCGAAAACGATATGGAAAACTATGTGAAGTACAAACTAGTTGGTGGTCGCCTCAAACTTAAAAAAGATGTTTTGCCTCACAAGTTTGCTTGTCAAAATCGGTGTACAGAAAAACCACAAAGATCTTTACTATCAAAACTAAATGCCAAATCTAGGTAGAAACGGTTGCACATGCGATTGCCACTACTTCACAAGAAATTGAGCAGAGTTGTCGATCCTGTTACTACTCTAGATGATAATATCGACATTGATCCCTTGCCAGAAGAATATACAACTATCAACGCTGATACTCCCGCTACACAAAACAAAAAAATTCAAGTAAACCTAAAAAAAAGTTTCACATAAAAGTACAGAAACCAAAGATAAATATGTTCGGCCAGTACAAGAGAATAAGAAACTTCTTCAATTTGATGTAGTAAGTTCTTCAAGCTATAAAGAAAAATCTTCACTTTCTAGAGAAACGTGCAACTTGATCTGCGTAGATGACATAGAATCAGAGTCCGAATTCGAAAAAGTTTATTTTAAAGTGTACATGGAAAAAGCTGCTATTCTGTGCGTGTCCAGAGAACCGCAGTTACTTTTAGGTCTTCCAAAAAAGTGGTATTGTACTATTCAACTATTGAGTGAGTCTTGCAAATGCTCTCCTAGAGACGTAATGATAGTTTTAAAGAAAATAAGATTGTATCGGTCCAACGCTTTACTAGGACTTGATTTTGGCATGTCTGGTGTTGCTATTGGAAACATTTTTAAAAAAACGTTGCCGAATATTTCTTCATGTATGAAAAAGCTTATATTCTTCCCAAACCATCCCAAGTAGTAACATTGCTGCCTATTCCTTTTCGAAAAAATTACAGCGATGTTCAGAGCATCATAGATTGTTTAGAGATTCAAATTGAAAAATTTTCCCGTTAGAAGCATTTGTGTCTGTATTTGAGCTAAACATTTTTTCCCTATGAGTCCATTCTTGTAATACTGACTGAATGCTCCTTTTTTTGATGGACACTTAATCTCAATCACGTGAGTGTCTGTAATCCCATCAGGTGACGCTCCAAAAAATGGATAGGTTCCATCAAGAAAAAGCCTAGAGGGTTGGATGAAAATTTTTTTTTGTTTCTCCACTTCTTTCTTGACGCTGTTTTCTATCAGCTTCCCTCTTTTCATAGCTTCGGTTTCGACTACAAGTTTGGCGCCAAATATTTCCTCTACAAGAGTACCATCACATGTGTGACACTGTGCAGCTTGGTGGGATTTCGAAGCGGTCACACGTCCATATCGCATTTCGTACCAAATACCTGAGTTGCTTTGAGTTCTAGTAGACTTTTCGACAAGTTTACATTTTTCTTTATTCATCTCTGTTGTGCAATAGCTCAAAAAATTTTCCAGGCTTGATTCATTAAAATGTTGTGTGAAAAAACATACAAGATAATGCATAGACATTTTTCTATGTCTGATTTTTCTTTATAATAAGGAAAAAGCTGACAATCAATACTGAAATCACTCACCTTCTGAACTATTTTGCCCAAAAAGTCTTCGCTGTCTTGGGATATTGCACTGTCCTTGTTTTCTCTAAAGTCCTTAGTTTTAATAAATTTCTTTGTAGTTCCGATTCCTGTAATATTAATATTCTTTTATACACAAAAGCCAATCTTTTCAGCCATATACCTACAAACGAGGTTGTTCCATGACTTAGTTGCGATTCCCGTAACATTAATATTCTATTCTACACAAAAACAATCTTCTGTGATATATGGCCAACGAAGATTGCTTTTATTCGTAAAATATTTACAAAATTTAGTTTAGAAACAGCTTGGGAGCAATCACCTCAATCTCAGAGGTTATTATCAACCATGTATTCATTTATATAATAAAAAAAACCTTTTCATAGTTTTGATCAATTAAATATTTAAACTTAGAAATAGAGAGACCTTGTATATTTTCTGGGACTTTGTTGTAATAGCGTATACATTGCCCCAAGAATGGATTACTGAATCTGTGGAGTAAAGAAACTAGTATCACAAGCTTGTGTTTGTGAGTGTTCACAAAGTATATATCACTTTTTTACTAAAACTACTTTTGTTTTTGTGAACATAAATCAAACTTTCATAGATATACTGAGAGGTCAAAGGTTAATTATTTATTTATATGAATGCTGCATTTTCCCATAGCAAAATCACATATGACATTATGCTATGGAAATAACTGAAATAAACTAATATAGCTGTCTCGACACTAGTGATCCCTAATCTCCCCCCTCCTTCGCGTGTAAAGGACGCTCCAACCCATACCCTTGCTGTACATCTTCTATCATCGCGCTAAATAGGCTAAAATAGTAATAATTTCCTGTAATTAGTATATACAAAAATTGATCAGTATAGAAGATCTTAGAACGTAAGTAAAAAGGCGATGATTACGGTTCTGAGACGGAAGGTCTTGACATGCCCATTCCAACTCCAGTAACAAGCGCGCTTTAAATACTTCTTTCTAATAAACCATTTTTCCCATCACTGCCAAAGGCTTATCCATATTCTCCATCGTTACCAAAACAAATGTCAAACCTAGTCTGTGAAGTTGGAGGATATCAGGCACTTAACGACCGTTACATACTTTGAAGCAATTTCTCACTTTTTACATCAAAGTATACTTTGCGCTTTCGTATTTAGCTTAAATATTAGTTTCACAATATATTGCACAGAATATATTGACACAGAAAGCAATTAAGTCACTTAAAAAGTAAAAACTTGCGACATTACGGTGGTCATTCCTAGGACTGAGTCAAATTCAATTACAAAATTTTTATTGAAAATTGCCAACAAGCCTCGAAAAGTAGATAAATAATTTAAAGATAACTTGCCGCTCCATTGTATTTTCCATGATATCCGATATAATAACTTGTAATTCACAATTTTAAAAGCAAAATTATCACACGTTTATTCAACGAAATCAACGAAACTTCAATTACAATCACAGAACACTATTACTCCTATCGGAGAAGAACGACAACTTCATACAAAATTTAAGAAATGTTATATATAACCACTAGCTCCATCTATCGTCAGCCTCCTGCACTTCTCGTGTGGCGGGAAATTTGAACGTGTTCTTTTTGATTTTTTTTATTTGAGGTATTTTTGGGTTGCCTATCCCAGCGCTAAATAAAAGAACAAAAATTACAAAATTTCTATTTATTTATTCAAAATAAAAATAAAAAACATACATAACTTAAGATAAAATTTCTCCAGCAGCTTAGTTCTTCCTATACATTTGATGGGTTTAAACATGAAAAGAAAATCAACATTTCAATTACTTAAGTAAACAATATATATAAGATTTACAATCATGGATGAATTGATAATATGCACAATCACAAATCACAGAATGTCTACAATAACCCAAATATCAATGTTCGCGACGGCCTAACAACGTTAAGAAACAAAGTTATAAACAATATTGTTTTTTGTATTAATAATGAAATTACCGACAAAACTGGATGAAAACGTGTATTAATATAGTTGTTTATCATGTTTATAACTCTTAGTATATTTGTATAGAATGTCGTTTTGATAATGTGACGGCCCAATATTATTATTAATAATTAAATTCAATATAAAGGGGCGTCAAAAATAGTTTTAAAAGATATATATTAAGCAATTAAGTTAAATTAATAAACATAAAGTTAATATATTTCAGACATTAGCCCAATAATATAGTAAATTAAAGGCAAAATTATTGTTTTTCGTAATAAATAAATTTATTTAAAAACTTGAAAAAATATTTAAAATAAGATAAATAATAGAAATACAAGTCAAAAAATATTATAAAATTAAGTTAAATAACGTTTATAAGATAATTAGAAAATTTGTTAAAAATTGTTTAAGTCATGGGAGGTGTTCGTGTATAAAAGAAAATTTTTCTAAGTTGTGGAAGGAGTTCACGTATAGATGAAATTTCTTAAGTTGTTGAAGGAGTTCATGTATTAAAGAAAATTTTCCTAAGTTATGAAAGGTGTTCACGTATAGACGTCTTGTATGGAGGAAGCTGCCGGAGGTACATACCTGCAGTTGTACATATATATGGGGTGGTCGGGAGCCCGACTGCCTGAAGTACTGTAGCACAATGACTAGTCCTATATTAGGGACTTATGATATTAAACTCAATGATACAAAAGCAATACTATAGAAGGTCTCTATGAATAATATGCATTACAATAGTAGGGTCGTGGGTTCGAATCCTATATATGAATGACTTATGGAAGTAAGGTCTATGATACAAAAGCAATACTATAGAAGGTCTCTATGATTAATATGCATTACAATAGTAGGGTTGTGGGTTCGAATCCTATATATGAATGACTTATGGAAGTAAGGTCTATGATACAAAAGCAATACTATAGAAGGTCTCTATGATTAATATGCATTACAATAGTAGGGTTGTGGGTTCGAATCCTATATATGCATGACTTATGAAAGTAAGGTCTATGATACAAAAGCAATATTATAGGAGGTCTCCTTGATGCATAAGCATTGTATGGGGTGGTCGGGTGACTGACTGCTCCTAGTACTGTAGCAAAATGACTAGTCCTTATTAGGGACTTGGAAAGGAATATTATGGTGGCGTGTGTGCTGCTTCACGAGCAATTGTTCCGAGGTAAACTTGGACTCGCTAACCGATGTGTCCTAGACATATCATCTTAGTGCCGGTGGTAAGCGGGTTTGTTGTAGCAATACGGCTTTCCCGTGGACATCGCACACCCATACCGTTTGTGGGCGACGTCGTTGCGCATAGCGATGTGTCGTCTATCTTTCGGATTGGGATGATGAGCGTGTTTGGTAGCACTTTTAAGTGTAGCAGGCATACTCAACTTCATGTCTTAGTGCATTAGCAACGTGGGACCCCATTCCCTTGAGGTGAGCGGTAGACTCATGACACGCTCTGCGGCTAGTAGCCGTGCTGATCATGCAATTGGTGATGATGCCATACACTTACATCACGTCTGCAGGAGCGGCGGTCTGGCAGGTGGTGGCGCTCACGGAGGGTTTACGGCCAGTGTGCCTATTTGCCTAAACCGTGTGACGTACATTCACTGTGGTTGGATTCGTTCGTATTCTGTTTGGCGTTTACACGCATTGACATGCGCGACTTCGGTCGATGTTTGTGCTTACGCACTAGCAAGGGGCCAAGCCTCTTTTACTGGTTCGCCAGTTATTTTGCTGTGGACTACGGTCCAGTTCCCGAATTAGCGTTCCCTTCGGGGGGAGTGCATCAAAATGGTTGGCGCTCACCGTGCACGGCGTGTGTGGGGCCGTGTGCCTCCCCTACATTTTTTTAATAAATGTAGGAGAGCGAAGCCCTTGTAACGGGTATTTTGTATAAATATATTTTGAGCCTTTTCCGAGCGGGAAGGGATAAATAATATTAAATTAATAATGTAAACCTGATACAAGTGGAATTGGGACGTTTTATGTTCTTAACCTTTCTCGAGCCCTGTCTTCGTGAACGGGGTTCACTTAGCTTATAAGGCACTACCAACAGTTTTCAATTGCTAGGGCGAATATTCATTCTTCCAAAAGACACCTAAAAGAACTAAGTTACTAAACAAACACAACGTAAATAAGGGTCCTAACTAAGACGATCACGCCAAAATATTAAAACCGGCCTATTAATAAACCTTTTGAAAGATCATTTAGAAAGATCAAAACATGTTTTATTTATCCTGGTCACATATATATAATTATTATGTAAAGGGGAATTAATTATATTTAATCTAATATGAATATATTTATTAATATGAGAGGGGGGAAGCGTTACAATTACAAGTAATGTAAACAACTTTTATTATATTAAGAAAAATCGACCAATCACAGCGCGTCTTATCGTAGAACTCTCTAGAAGTTTTTTAATTAACTGCGTAATAGTTCATACCAAAAATAATGAAAATAATTTTGTGTTCTAAAAGAGTTATAAATATGACATTGAATTAGCATATGGCTTATAGATTAAGAAAGTGTAGGAATATTTTGTATAATTAAACGCATTTCGTAGTTATAGAAAAATTAAAGAATTAAAATACCCAAATATTATGAAAATTTGGGACATTTCGTTTAATAACTTTTTACAATGTTAATATTTTTAGTAACCTTTATGAAATAATAATAAAGTACCAGACTACCGATTTAATGATGTATTGCATGTTAGTGTAGCAATTAGTTTTGTATAGAGAATATTGCAATTTATGCCATTTGTATAGTGAAAAGTTTATGCAATAAAGAGGCAAAACGGAAAATGGCAAGCGGCTCACTGTAAAGTATTGCTAAAGTCTACCTTAGGGGCTCGGGACCCAGTACCAGTAGTAGTGT